AATGCTTCATTTGTGAGACCGTATGTTAAAGGATCACACCAACAGTTGGTGACCAATAAAGATTGATGCTGAAAAGGGAAACTTCCACTTCTTCTTGTGAAACAGGTACAGTCTGCCAGGTCAGCATTTATGGAACACACCACAACCCTATTGTTTGGACAAACCCACATGTAAGTACTTGGTAACATAATCTACATTTCTGCTACAAACCTATTGTGTGTTTAACCTTTCCCATTTGTTCTCTAACCAGGAGTTTGATCCCCATCGATTTGACCCAGGCAACAAAATGAGCCACGCTTCTCATGCCTTCATCCCCTTCTCCTCAGGCTCCAGGTTCAGTTTTAGCCTTAATCCAAATAGTACAACTAGGAAATGGACTGGTTAAAATATAACAAGTATCTCTTTACAGGAACTGCATTGGTCAGAAATTCGCCATGACAGAGCTTCAAGTTGTAGTGGCCCTGACCCTTCTCAGGTTTCGACTGACCCCAGGGGTGAACCCTGAACTCGGGAGCAGCAGAGTTCGCCGTCTTCCCCAAATCGTCCTGCGCGCAGAGGGAGGCCTGTGGCTGCAGCTGGAGCCTCTGAACACACCCAAACTGAACAAACAATCAGAGGAATGATCCAACAAGTGGAGTTTTTGTCTGAATTTCAGGAGCAGGACCACACCTCATCCACGCCCCTTTCACTCTTCAGTCAATGTATGCTCCCTAAACCATCATCGTACATCGTAACTGAGGATGTGGTCCCAGCTAGTGAATATAATATTCTTATGTAATATAGCTCAAACACAAAAATAAACAAATCTTACACTGATGGCACCTCTCAGACACTAATTAGCTGTTTGATTTTGAGTTTTCAAACATTCACATTAGGAGTGAAATCTTGACACTCACATTGAAAAACATTGTTTTTGACACATTTAATGAAAGGAAAGACTTTATCAGTGCATGTGTGATGCAGGGGCGTTAACACCTTTCTTATATCACCACTCTGAAGACTGATGGACATTGTCAACAAGTTAACTGACATTCAAAAGGGTGAAACTCAAAACAAGACAAACAATACAGTCATGATATACATGTGTGCAGCATAATATGCATTTATATACCACATTGCTGCTACATAGCATATGTCATATGTCTAATTGCGTAAACTTGTACTATCGATGCTGTCCCAGACAAACTCCCAAATCGCAGGTAACTAGCTCAATAAAGGGACTAGCTTTACAGCCAAATAATAATGGATTGCATTTATACAGCACTTTTCTAGGCACCCAAAGCTTTACAATTCCACTATTGATTCACTCTCACATTCACACACTGGTGGAGGCAGCTACAGTTG